CTAAGATCTCTTTGAATATATGACACGAAATGTAAAACTCGATTGAATTCATGGGTTCTTCCAGTTGTCGACCAAATACTTGTGGTTTGTGTTGAAGAATATTCTGCAGACTATTGGAACACAACTCCATACAAATGTAATATACTTTGTCTTTATACCATTGACGCATATATTGGACACAATATTCTGACCTAACTTTTATCAATTTTTGCAATTCTTGCATACATTCCGGAAAATGGTCTTCACCTGTAAGTGTATTAATTATGATATTTTAAAATAATTTAAAATTTTACATAACATTTGGACAAATACAATATAATACAAATTAATTAGTTATACAAAATATCTAAATTCCATTAAATTACCTTGGTATCTTATTTTCTTAACGGCATATTCTCGTCCATCATATTTATATTCAACAACAAATACTTCCCCAAAAGCTCCCGAACCTAATGAATGCTTCTCTACATACAAACGCTTGTATTCACTCACTTCGGAAACAACTATAAAACAAATTTAGATAAATTCATTAATTTGTCATAAAGTCATCCATAAGTACGTACTCAAAGGGGACAGGGAGGGTATTGTAAGCTTACTAAAGAGTAATTAATTATACGGTATAGTATTTATTTTTGCATAAATATAATGAAAATAATTTGTTTAATTGTTTGACAATGTCTTTAAATTCAAATTATATTAAATGCTGGAATTAGCATTCGATAAGAAAACATTGTAAAATGTACAAGTTAACCTTACTAATCCTTAACTAATTCAAGTAAATTTGCATATTTTTAGTTTAAGTTAATGTGTTAATCGTGAATGTTAATGACTGGCTGATGGTACGTACTTTATGAATGACACCTAAAACTAATTCATACCATTGTTTGATAATTCCTTTATAGAAGAAAATACTTTTTCCAAATAATCCAAACATTTGGCAATAAATTCTTCGCAATTCTTATAATTATATTCCGTATAATCACACAAATCAATGGTTTTATGAGTTATTTGATAATCATATGTAGAACAGTCGAAGAAATTTGTATAATTTGTTTCAATTGTGTTATCGTGTGGTTTGATTTTAATATAATATATTTTGCAATTCATTATAGCACGAAACCGACACAAGTTATGTGTATATGATATAATTTCATTCATTTCTGTAAACCTCTTATCAGTATTTAATACTTTTGGTAATATTTGTATCAAATAGTCGTTGTTTTCATTCCTATATCGACCGCAAAAATAAATGAATCCATCGTTTGATAAGAAGCATGTGAGGCCACCACCGGAACTGATAGTCTTAATACCAGTCATGTCTGCAATGAGTTGTGGTTTCCATATATTATCCGATGATTTGTGTCCCAATTGGTAGAAATCATTTTTACCCCAACTAAACACCTGTCCCTCTGATGTGATGGCAAATGAAGAGTAAACACAACAATAAATGCTTTTAATTTCGTGATAGGGATTGAAATTCACTCGAAATGTGTCCCCTTTTCGTATACCATAGTCTGGTCCACAACCTAATTGTCCGTGCATATTATCCCCCCATCCATAGACACAGCGATCACTCGTGAGAATCATTGTGTGTTGAAAACCACAACTTATTTGATAGATTGACTTATTTTCCATGTTTTCGGGATTAATAAGTTCTGGTTTTATAAATGGGAAATCCATATTCGGGAGTTCCAAACCTAACTGTCCCCAATAATTAAGACCCCAACCATAGAGGCAGTTGTGTTGAGTGAGGGCTAACACAAAGTCCGCTCCATTGAAGAATTGTGTGATATTCTTGTGGCGCAATCCCTCAATCTCTTGGATTTCACGGACATAGCTGTCGTGTCCCAAACCAAGAGATCCCTCATAATTAGATCCCAATCCGTAAACCATGTCATCATTTGTTACAAACAATACATTATATCCTCTCTCGTCATCGAAAACATGAAACAATTGAATCAATTTAATGATATTTTCTTCACTTTTATGTCTATTTTCGTCGACAAGTGTTTCATTGTGTGAATCATTGGACTCGTGTTCCGTAGGCCTCACATCACTTGTATGTATGGATCGGCTATTACTGGACTCCACTCCCGATTGTTGTGGGCTTTTACTTTTCGTAAGTTTTAAATCCATATTTTACACACAATTAACAAATGATTAATCTAATTAATGACTTAATTGTTTTAGAAATTTAATTAAACATAAAACACATTACTAACAAAGACAATATTTATTACATTTATTTTTATTGTTATAAGAAATAGTTATTTATAATGATTGTCATGGTATTTTTATCATATCTATAGATAAATTGTAATACTGTAAAGAATTGTAAGTATTATAAAATACCATTACATTTGAGTTTTATATTTATAGATAAAATAACTTTATTTATCTCAATATAACACATAATGTTATTTGTATTGTATAGGGTCATACATAAAAAACAAGCTTTCGGAAACTTGAATTGCTCGCTAACTACAAGTCCTAGACTTAAACGGTAAAAAGCATTATTAAGATCTATTTAATGCAGAACTTTCACACTTAAAATAAATTTTAACAAAATGTACAGAGGCCCGTCCTATAACGCTATACGCAACTTACTGTCAACGTAGCAAAGTTTACGTACGACCGTAATTTACGTTTCCGTCCGTACTATAAAAAATATTAGACTACGTAAACTTATCGAGAGTTACGTATGGCATAGTTTGTGCGCACTACAACTGCATCACATTGCATATACTGTATGTGTGATATAATGTTGTTTACAGTTTATTATAAATATAAAATATATTTATAATATATTAATACTGTAAATACAAACATTCAATAATTATAACTGAAACTATTAACTAAAAGAAATATATTGTTTGACAGAAAAACACAATGAGTAATTAAATAAAAAGTGAAACAAAGAAACATAAATTTGTTAAATAATTACACCAAAAACATTAATTTTAATCAATTTAAGTAACTTTTTAGACTCAAAGTCAATATATTTGTCGACCTATTATCATAGCTTTTATTGCAAGAAATCATTAATTTCTTGTTATTATCTGTGTTACAATTATTCATTTTAAACGCACTTTAGGTCTAATATGTAAATAATAATAGAAATTCAACGATAATTTAAATAAAAACATAAATAACATTAAATTAATAAGAAAAACTCATCTTAAAGTAGCACTAGAAGCACCGTATAGTACGTGAAGATATGTTACGTTACGACACGTTATAGGACAGAATCTCACTTAAGTTTAACGTCTCTTAAAAAGTTTTACTTAAGCCACACGTAACTGTAAATTACGTATAACGTTACGAATGGTTTTATAGTACAGTCAAACCCAACGTAACGTAAGATACGTTCAAAGTTGTACGTAAGTTGCTTTATAGGATCGGCCGCAGTAATTGAAATAATGGACTGTTTGCAAAGGTCATAGGTACAGGTCAGGGTAAAGGTCATGGGTCAAAATGGTTAAGTGAGTTTGAAAGCTCAATAGTAGAGCTTTCATTTAAGCCATATGTGGTAAAAAACTAATTGCTAATAATGGCTGTGCGATACA